ACTATACTCGCTTCATTAAAAGCAGACTTACTACTGAAAAGTAACACCCAAGTGTCTTTTGACTTCCACAACATGCTCTTCCACTGCACTCATTTGCATATTAAAAACCTAAGAATCCTAAGTATCTACTGACAATTAAAATAATTTGACATTTATCTGGTAATAGAGCTATAGGTGCATGTACCAAGCACAGAACTCACGGGTACATTGTGTTAGAGTGTTAGTGAGAGGGACAGCTGATCTTTGGGTGTGTGTTGTCCGCCTGTTAGCCCAAAGGCAGCTGGTGTGTTGCCAAGCACGAGGGGTTACACAGGCGCACAACAAACCCACTTACTAGGCATCTCAGTAATTCTGAGTGCTTTAATGAAAATACAAAGTTCAGCCTTAGGTCTATAAAAATATCGTTGTATTGTGGTCTCATAACACATGCACACAAAACACACGCCTCATTTGAGACACAACCCTCCAGTGGGTCAGAGAACGTTGTGAGCTTTAAATGGGAAACGGCAGTCAAGGAGCAATCGGACTAAACCATTGGATGGAAAAGCAAAGGCTCATTTCAAGGAGCAATAGCTTTTGGTAAACACCTTCATGTTAGTTGCCAGTAAAACAAGATGGAAATAAATAAAGCAATTTAGAGCAGAAATACAAAACAATTTTAAATAAACATGGAATATAAATCAATATCAAACTCCGCTTCTGTAACGGTGTTGCAACCTTGAGCAAAATGTAAATAGAAACTTTTGAAACAGGTCATTAAAAAAAGAGTCCATTTAATGTGGCTAGTCTCTGCCTCAAGCAAAATCATTAAAGGTGCAGTAGATATGTAAGAATTTTTGTGTTGCTTATGGCAGGTAGCCTCGGCTGATTGATAGATGTAATCACAACTACAGCAATATGTGAACAAGGAGCATTTTTCTCCACTGACAGCCAATATAAAATAGCCATGTATTCTAATGCATCTTGGAAACCTTTCCCTGTTCCCTCCCTCTGACATCACAGCTCATGCTTCAGAGGGACAGTTGCCAGTGAAAGGAAAGACTGTGCACGATCTTGCGGTGCCATCAACCAATCAGTGACACAATTTTCCCGTGGCTCCAGAGTGATTAGTCACGGCTCAAATGATTGGCTCAAAAAAGTGAGCACAGAACTGAGTGCCCTTAAGCAAAGATGGCAACATGCAACGACCCAGCTTGATTCATCAAACATACAAATAAATGTGTGCAAACTGAATTTTACACTGTTTATAAATATATATATATATATATATATTCTAAAAGAACAGCATGGTTGCCAGAGCTTTACCATTAAAGAAATAGAAGAGACATTTTGAGCTTTATGGATTGAACTTAAATGTACAGTAAAAAAAAAAAAAAAACATTTTATTAACTCATATAAATGTTAAAATACCAAAGACCTAAAAATTCTTGTATATTTTTATAATATACTGACAACCACCATAAAAACTCAGGCGGTAAAGAGAGAGCCACATGTAGAATCAAAGCTCACCACAAGAAGCTTTTTCTCAAGCTGAAGTAAAATTACTAATACTGTGTCTTCATATGTCACACAAATACAAAACATAACATATAAAACACACTATTAATATAATGCAATAAACCTTAATTTGACATAAAATAACAAAATAATGTGCATAGCATTATTTAATTGAAAAAAACATCAAATATGAAGTGCCACAGGGAATTCTGGGAATGTAATTGACGATTTTTATTTAGTTTTACTTTTATTGCCCCCCTTAGGGGAAACTAGTTTTGTAGCAGAAGGTAAAACATATAGACATAATACACAAACAATATACTGTATAATGCACATTGCACAAATCATAGTTCATATCAAAGTAATCTACCTATGAAGAGTTCATTAAACCAAAAGCCACCGAAACAAATTGAATATTTTTGTTCTTCCACCTGGCACTTTAAAACGACACCCCGAAGGCAACTATTGAAATTCTTTATATTATGGATGATCTATATTTCTTAACATTGAATGTGCCTTAGTTAAAATCTGTCTTTGATAAATGTCAAGGCTGTACTTGACTTACTCCTTTGACTTTTCCTGCCACATTAACAAGGCTATTCAACCTATTCCTATTTGTCAATGTGGGATTGCCAAACCAAGCAGCGATACAAAATGAAAACACTGATTCAATAAAAGACTTATAAAATAAAGTCATCATCTTAAAGCATACATTAAATGTTTTATCTTCCTTAAAAAAAAACTATTTCACAGTAAATTATAAGATGGCTTGTTCTTTTTTCATCTACTGACTGATACAACTTGATAGTGGCAAATGGCAATCATATTATGCCCTTGTGAATTACGATCATTTCCAACGTGAATTCAACATGAATAAACCTCCTTGGCTCGAATAAAAAGATGGCAATTTTGTTTCTTTCGGACACTAGTGTTGCTACTACTACCTGTGCTAGAAATAAAATTCCCACAAAATCTAAAAGTCAGAATCTTTATTACAATTTCCCCCTTAATAAGGACACAAATTGTTCCCTTAAAGACTCAATAGGTTTTTCACTTTAAAGCACATGCTTTTTAACTGGAGCCTCAGGCAAGGTGCCACAGAGGACAGAGAGAGAGAGAGAGAGAGAGAGAGAGAGAGAGAGAGAGAGAGAGAGAGAGAGAGAGAGAGAGAGAGAGAGAGAGAGAGAGAGAGAGAGAGAGAGAGAGAGAGAGAGAGAGAGAGAGAGAGAGAGAGAGAGAGAGAGAGAGAGAGAGAGAGAGTTCACATTAAGTCACCATTCCTTCCATATGGCAACCGCACCTTAGGGGCAGTTATCACCTAGTGAACAATGGAAAGACACTTCGAATAACCAAACCGTAAAGTCTGATCCAAAACCAAGAAGTGCAGATGAACAACTCTAAGATGATGTGCTCTGGATTTGGAGTCTTTTTTTACAGGTGCATTACTGTATGGTGCAGACAGTCTATATGACTGATATAATGGCATGCTTTCAGTCTCACCCACTTGCTCAACATGGCCGGCCTCTACTTTCGCATCCCATTACTGACACCATGCCTGGAAGACCTGCCGTCCGCAGTCAGCTGCACAGGGATAACGTTTCAGCCTCTTAATGCTACTAATAAGCATGTTCCCCTTGCAACAGAGTGTCAATACCCATCCACAAAGTCACCCCCCAGACTCTCCTTCTACAAGGAAACACAGTGCACTCAATTATCCCAAGCGCCATTTTCATGTCTTTTTGGAAACGGATATGGTGAGATATCACTTGGCAAAACATGCTCATTCCCAATGGCACATAACAAGTTGTCATCAACCACTGAACTGATTAGGGAAACACGGACCCTACGAAATAACTGGTTTTACTTATACATCATATCCCAGAGAAGACAACAAGGCTTAATCAAGGCTTCCCAACAGCTAGTGATATAAACACAGGCCTGATTGTGTTTGAACAACCTCCATCCGAAGAGGCTGAGCTACAGTGTCAGTTTCAGATAGACTGCTTTGCTGGAACGCTTGTACATGTAGGTAATTAAATGATAATGAAGACTGGTGACTTCACGGACGCCATTAACCCTTTACATTTAAATAAAATAAAAAGTTCAACACAGTCTCATCCGAACGAGAAGAAACATGTAATTATTTCATAATGTCAACCATTTAAAAACAAAAACACCCCACAGGCAAGGCTGTTGACAAACTAACAGGGCGACAAACCATCGAATCTGTATTTTAAGTCATTCCCAGACAGATATCTTAGTCAGTAGGTACTAATAGGGATTAAACCGTATTGGCTGTTTGAATCCATGCAGGCCTCATGTGGTTAATTATAACTCACTGGATAATGTCTCCTCAAATCCCACTTGAAGCAGCCAAAATGAAGCATCGGGTAACCAGTCCGTTTTTATGTCTGCAATGAGTCTCCAGAGAAGCAAATAACACTTTTCCATTTACATTGGACTGAAGCCAATCCGTCAAAGATGGACACGCAGAAGATAAGCCACACTTTTGTTGCAATCACACACACACAGAGTCCATTTTGAGTGCCTAATGGAAGCCATCACATTACTATTAAATTGAATGGATGTGAAGAATAAAAAAGAAACTCTATTTCATACTGCACAATTGCAAGCAACAGGTCTGGATTGTTTTCCTATGAAAATCAAACACTAAAATGTGTTTGTAGTTGAGGGTGGCTGTTTAGTTAAAGATAATCTGTGTCCCTACATGACCGTGTGCTACAGTACATTATAAACGTGCTGGCTTGCTTTTAATTGTATTGCCCATAATGAATCAAATAGCATTTTTAAAACCACTAAGAAAAGTAATTAACAAATACCCAGTTTAACACCTACACGTTCATATATGGCTTTCAAGGCAGTGTATGAATAAATGCTGTCTATTAACTTAATTTTGCCTTCATCTTGAGTCTCAACGTCTTGTTTACAGAGTGAATCTAGTAACAGTTCAAATGTATTACCAGGTTACTGATTGCATCCCATCTGCATAAATCTCGAATTCTTGATTCACATCAAGACTTGTTTATGCTTTGAATCTTCATCATTTTTATCCATCAACAAACCACTGACATGAAGCAAAAGTATAAAACAAAATTCTAAATTATGGCCCAAAACACGATTGATACATTTTTACTGAAAGCTTAAATACATCTAAATAATGTGATTTGTGAAGGAAAAGATGAGGCCTATACGAAAGGCTTAGGTTTGCTGACAAAATTACATGAATTCAATAAATTTCACCACGTCTTTTATACAATATACTGAGATGTTTGGGCTTTGTGCATCATTCTGAGTAGTTTATTCAGAATGACTGCTGCTTGCTGCAATATTGTCATGCAGATCGAGTGTATTCCCAACAATGAATCACTTCTAGCAATGCCAATCCACTGCCATCTATTCATTTAGTTATTAAGATACGCAGAGAACATGATCATTTCATTCCAGCTAATGGTGCTTTTCATGGAGAGGGAAAGATGCATTACCTTGCTTTTGATGTTGCAATGGCAGCAGACAGTCCACAGGTACTTGAGGGTCCTCCACAGAAGGATGATGAAGAGACCCCCGAAGAACGTCACCATGGATGAGGCAAGGAAAGCCCACCACATCCGCTGACCATTGTTGTCACAGGGAACGTCTGGTGAGAATGGAATGATCACGTCCATCTTCGATATAGAGACAGAAGAGTCCGGATTTTTATTAAAATTGAAAGTATTGCTCATTCTAGAGCTGCTGCTGCCATAGGATCCGTTGCCATCCGCCACTAGCATTGAGAAGCTTTGGACAGCTCCTGCCAGCGCCCCCAACCCCAGCCATCAGCCATATTGCTTGAAATATCCCTCTCCTTTCTTCTCTCTGTTTTTCTATCCACGTCTGCTCAGTGTAAATAATATTTTTGTGTGAGAAATACAGCAGCTTGGAGAGCGTGAGGAGAAATCGCGCGTCCGTTCCCCTCAGCGCGAGACATTTAAATCCGCATTAATGACGACTTCGTATTTTCATTTTGAAGGGTTTTCCTCGTCTTTTTCCATATCTTCTAAATAAAATGGAGTCTAAAACCAATATTCGTGTAGTCTCTGTTGTTATCAGTGAGAAAGCAGTGGATTCTTGAGAGAAAAGCGGACAAACGACTGTCTCTTCAGGCGGCTTGTGTACGTCCAAGCTCTCTGTCGTCCATCCAGTGACAGCGTCGCCTCAGTGGTGTCTAATCGATATTTCGCTCATAAACGCCAACTTAATCAATGTCTCCAAAGCTATTCAGTTGGGAATCAAGCTGCTCTTTGTAGTCTTGCGAGGCTAGGTGGAAGAACCCGTTCAAACATCGGTGTTTCGGCGACTATTCCGCTCTCGCTGTCCCCATTCACTTTCCTCAGCGGATCCAGGCAGTCCGTCAGATCTGCTCCAGCCTCCACAGATTGTTGGGGAGATTTACAGGTAGGAGGGCGGAGCCAAACCGTTATAATAAAGATGACATAAAGATGATATTTGTTATTAAACGTACAACAACAGGTAACATTAGCAATCATCTTCATAACTAAGAAGGAAACAATTAGGAAAATAAATACCACACACATATTAATAATATTTACAAAACATATAGGCTCATATTTTACACTAGACATACTTTTTCCATTCTTGATTTGTTTAAGAGGCTGTATTAAAGAGATGTGCTTACAAAAAGCCTAATAAGATGGAAATTATCACACTTGCAATCATGCTGTGTAATGAATATCAGCAGGGCTGTCTGTAGCTATCACATAACACTCTTGCTAGTGTGAAATCACTTAAATATAACACTTATATAAACATTATAGTATATAATAGTATATATATATAATTTAACGTACCTTCAGATAAAACGTCCCATTAATGTGTAACGTTATATTTTTCTTCGCATCAAAGATGTGCGTGTTTCCAACGCGCTGTCTGCACACCGGTCTGGAGTCCCATATGAGTGGAGCGGAGCAATAGATTCCGCTCCTACGCTCTGTAATCACTTCGCTTAACCTCCATTGCGTGTTTTACATTAGCCGCTCCGACAAACTAGTGAGGAAAACCAACAATGTAAACATACTTTTGGAGCAACTGAAAACACCTACAGTTGGGACTTCCCAAAACTATACAATTCCGCGTACATTTGCGATCTGATTCATGGTAAAATGATATGGATTTATATTTTAGAGCTGTGGGGACGTATTTCCCGGGCAATTGCATACGCTACTTCCGTGCACGTGTGTACGTCGCTCGTTTATTATTATTATAATTACGCTTTTTTCCTCAGAATTCAGAATCGTGAGATAAATAGGCCTAAAGTCCAAATTGTGGGATATAAAATCGTAAATGCAAAGAAAAATAAACAGAAAGAAACATAAACTCGAGTTAGCCTATGCGAGTTAGCTAAAGATATAAACATGCAATTGTGAGCGAAAAAAGCCATTATTGTGATGTAAGAAAAGTCACATTACCTTTTTTTTTTCTTCAGTGGTAGAAACAAGCTTCCAGAAAAAGTCAACATAGAGTAAGCTTTGACTTAATCACAATGATAACGTTTAATATGAATTAATACGTTTCTTGTTTACAATAATAAGTGATGTCTTTAACAGTCATTGTTATAATTCCTTTGTTTTGTCAGAAAAAAATGTGTGCGGTTTTTCCATAATTTCATAAAACACAAATGCTTTAGTTTTAAAGCATCTGAAAGCAAATACTTGTGGTCTAAGTTAGATCTTTAAATGCATTTATGTCGCTTTATTTGAGTATATGCTCCATGTGGACATTTAGCGCATATTTAGCAAGATGGTCTCGGGTCTTTGTGAAGAGAAGCATTTAAATCCTATAAGATCAACAGCAGTGTGTCCTGTGCATTCAGATGTCACATGATGCTTCATTACACATCAGCCTGTTTATCCTTGTAGTAATTTGGTAGTGGTTTCATCGTTGAGGTCTAAGCTGTTTCCCCAAAGGTCAAGAATAATAGATAAGCTTAGTAAATTAGTGGGAACCTAGTTTCAAGGTATAAATATTGAGGGTAAAATGTAACAAACAAATGTTGGGCTTTGTTGTTGTTATTATTATAAGCCAGATGACAAGCTAGACTTGCCTATACTTCACAGGCTATGAAATGAGACCCTAAAACAAGTCATTTTCAAACTATAAACAAACATTACCGGAATGAGGTGTAAAGGAGATTTACTGACATCTATGATTTTTATGTTTGGGATTTACTGTCTGAGAGATGCTATTACTTGACCAAAATAGCAGCTGAAACATAATCTTCATAAATAGTTGTCAGCTGGTGTACTGTATGCTGGTATATAGTAGTCATATCACTTTTCCTAAACATTCTAACATTTTTAAATGGATAAGTTTTAGGTTCAATTTCATCTTTTGTTGTTACACTTTGCCATCCTTTTCAGAATTGTCTGTTAAATGCCATGACTTTACCCTGTAGTGAGTATCGGTTCAGGTGTACAATGAAGAGCTTTCCAACAAATATTGAGACATTCATTTGTTTTTAAAAAGACATGATGTATCAGTGGATAACATGTCAATGTTATTGAGTTTTCAAACAGTATCTGTTACTTCTCCTCCTACTGGACAACAGTGAAAGTGCAAGTTTAGTGTAAAAAGAGCTTCGTGACTTGATATTTGTACCTGCAGAAACATGGAAATGGTTTCTCAATAGCTTTCTGTTCCAGGATTACCACATAACATCAAGACTGTTGCAACACCCAACCCTGAGTGTCACTCAATAGACAACACCCCTACCCCTGGGTGACGTGACAGAAAATCATATTACCGGGGGGAAATAAATCAATCGAATTATTTCTTTTCTCTCAATATTTCTCTATGTTTGTGTGCATTCCATCCTTCTGTTCAGAGTTGAAACTCTACATTGAGAACTGTCTTGTGTTGGTGTCTTTTTACTGGTTTTCCATCTCATAGCCCTCTGTCCTGGTAGGCCACCAGTTGGTAGGGCCTGGATCTTGCAGACCAGGCTTCAGTGGTGTTATTTATGGAGCAATAGGATCCACGATTGGTCATCTTCCTGGAAAACGTGCCCAGCTGTCAGCTTAGAGGGCTAAAGAACTGGTTCCTGCAAGAGCCCCGTCAAAGAACGGCATAGCTGACAGATGCAAAGCTTAGTTGAGCAGGAGTATTATTCAGATTGTACACTTTCAGAAATGTAGCGTTTGCATGGTTGACCACATCGATCAGTTCTAACACTCAGTTCTAGTACTAGTTCTCAAGTTCAGAAGAGCGGTCAGCAGCTGTCTGGAAACAGATACCCCAGCAGGAGACTCGACCCTTTCTAAAAGAAGAGGAAGGGGACTTGAAGGACGTGTTGCTTTCGGGGTGAAGCCGAAAAGGCATTCTTAGGGCTTCCCGTGGCTGAGAATGGTTTCGAGAGGGAGCTGAGGACAAGAAGTCAGCACGATCCAAATGAGGACACATGCTCGGGGGAGGAGCTTCAGTTCTCATGACTGAACTGCAATAATCAGAGCTGGCATGGCCGAGGGCATCTTCAGAGCTACACAAATCCCTTACTAAGGAAGTGTGCTGTGGGACAGACCCTGACCTCTCTGTCAGGAGGATGTTTGTTAGGGCTTACCTGATGACTCTTCTTTCTGGTTTAAACGCCAGCTGAAAACAAGGAGGAATGTGTCTAGAAGCGCACTATTATTCAATGCCTCTTTAAAGCAGCCTTTTATGATAATTAAGTCTTTGGATACAGTTTTTTTTTCAAGCTTGTTTCACAAACAATTAATATGCAAGTGGCAGTCTTTGCTGCAAATATGTGAATTAAGCACCTCAGATGTGAAGTTTTGGAACATTGGATCCTAATGGACAGTTAAGACCAAATGATTTAAATAGGTAAAATGACAAAGAACAGTTCTCACACACAAACAAAAACAGGAAATTATATATTTTAAAATATTCTGCACCATTTTACAGTAAGGTTCATATTGTCAATACTAATGCATTATGAACTTTAAGAATTTATGAATATAACAATGTTGATTTCATAAACATATATTTTGTTTATTATACATTAATTCTAACTTTCTTGAAATGTTAAAAATGTATATGTATATGAAATTAAATTATCACTATCACTTTTCTATCCATCCATCAATCATCCATCATCTATCTATCATCCATCCATCTATCAATCATTCATCTACCATGCATCCATATATCTATCATTCATTCATCCAAACATTTATCAATCATCCATCCGTCTATATCTATATCATCTATACATCTGTTTACATATATGTCCATATCTGTCTCCTATGTCTATCTGCATCTGTCTCTCTATACTAGAATCAAGAGAACTTCAGAAAGACATGCATTTCAAACTACAGACCCTTTGACCAGTGCTTTTCATCAAAGCGTAGAAGTTCAAATGACAGTACTGTAGTGTTCTCCTCAGTCAGCTGATGGTCTGACTGGACAAGCTGTCAACATTTTTCAACATTATTTTTTGGGAGGAGAAATTTTTTCGTCAGTGTCTCATCACGTCATACAGAATCAGGTTTAACAGCAACTCTTCCACCCCAAACTGCAGCTGACAGCTGTACAGACGCAGGTATTGTTTGGGAGCTCACCTTAGTTCCAGTAATTAACACCACATCTTCCCCATGGTTAGACGCAGTGCATCAGCTTCAAGGAGGAGCAACAAATAAGACGGCTCCGCACTCAATTACAGCACATGTCAGTCTGCCGGCGCTGTATAACACCCTTAATATGACGGAGATCTCAGCCCGCAGTCAGATGAACACGCCATTCAATCAAACACACACCATCTTCATTCATTTAATCACATTGTGTGGTACAGAAAACAACTTTTATTCTCGCATTAATGACGTTTTCATACAAATCACATTCTTTTAGAATAAAAGAAATCCTGATGGAAACAGTACCTGTGTTCTAATCGTTCTAAATACTCTGTGGTGACGGATCCCTCGTGTAAAACCATACGCTAGCTATTCAGAAAAATAGTTAGACGTTAGATTCACTTTGACCAAATGCCTAATTTCAACCCAATGGACTGATATCTTGCTTTGAAAAGAAAACTGTGCAATAAGAAATCCCTTTTTATGCAGTGTTTCTCTTTTTCTTTAAAAAAAGGCAGTTAATGAAATGTATGGAACAGGAGTGATACACATGAATATTATTTTACAGTAAAAATTATAGTACCTATTTCCATTTCTACTGGAAACCTACGAACAGTCATTTGTTTAGGGTTCAGAACATTGGAAGTGCAAAACAGAAAAACAAAAGCAAAAGTACATGTTTTTGGCACAACATTAATGGGGCTACTGGTCTGCATGAGACA